GTAAAGGTTGCCCTCCAGTTACGAGACCTCTGCATGGCGGGCGGTTTTCCACTTGCAAAATGGTATGCTACACACAAGGACGTCATCACTGCAGTCAATGCCAGTCACATTCAACCACAAGCAGTTTCGTTCGACGATTGCACAACAAAAATTCTTGGGCTGAAATGGTCTCCTCAACAAGATACATTTTCATTCACTACCATACAGACACCGAGACAAGATAATAAATTTACGAACCGCCTCATTCTATCTGAGATTGCAAAAATATTTGATCCTCTAGGTTTTGTATCGCCAGTTCAATCATATCGATCAATATGATTAAATAGTATTAATTAATTGAAAATGTAACATTAATATTTTTATTAGTTATTTGATATAAAATTTTGTTTAATTTTAAACTAAATTATCATTCGAGTAATATGCAATAACGATTTTTCAAGAGTATATATTGAAGAGTGTGAATGAAATGAAAAATTGAATAACTATATATTTTATAATAAAAGTATTATAACATTTTTATTTTTACATTATTAATGGATTAAAGGTGCAGCAAAACAAAGTAAATTATTTCGATAAAAATGATATATATATATATATATATATATGTACCAATAAATCGTAACTTGAATTAATAAATTTAATTTTATTAGCTATAATATATAAATTTTAGCTTTATAAATATGTATTAGCTAAAATAGTGATTATATTTAAGAATGGTTTCTACAACATCATGATAATTAATGTAGATCAATTTTATTTCAACTGCTAAAATAACAATATACAACGGAAAATAGCATATGAATTGAAAGATTCTCTATTATATCATTGATGTGAATTAATTATTCATACATAAATTACCATAAAATATAGTTAAACTGTGAACATTTTTAAATAATGTTTAATATATTATCAAAAAATTAATAAAATAAAATAATTGTTATAATTGAAATTGACTATATTGCTATTGACTATAGCAACTATAGACTATATGTTCTTTATTAAGTTTTTACCGTATGTACCAATGTTGCTGGTTCATAAATTATGCTGGTTGGTGGACCTGTGTTTGGATGAATGTGCGGATGCTGGGGTTGTGGATGATAAAAGGTAGTTGTGCTCGTAAGATCAATTGTGTTGACTTGGTACATTGATTGTTCGCTAGGCTGGTAAACTGTCATCTCTTGAATATCACTTGTTGGATGTTCGATAACATTTTGCGGGCCAATTACAATACTTGGCGGTGGTAGGGGTGGCAGGGATCGTGATAATTCTAATAAATCATGAGCTGCTTCCGTTTCTGCTGCTGATCTAAAACCGAGGTAAAATTAGTGTTCATATATAGATTATTGAAATCAAATGGTTGTAATTGATTGAATAATTTAACTCTTTATTTTTGTTGATATGTTAATATTATAGCTATCAAAGGATCCAAAATAACTATTAGTGTACATTTAAATATAAAGGAGAATTCTTGGTAAAATAATAAATTTATTATTTATTACATCTAGCATTTTTATTTTCAAAGAATGTACTTTATATTCGAATTGCGTAGGTGATGATTAAAATTGTTATTTATAATTCATATTTTATTAGAATCCTACTGTCAACATACATTCGGAAAAATATTAGAAATCATATCAATAGTAATAAAAATAGAAATTTTCTATATTATAAATTTTACATCTTTTTTAGTTTCAATATTTTTATCCTCTTTTACAAAAAAAATTACAAGAATAACAGATTTATTGTAAAATATTTATAGTTTTATTTATATTATATCATATGCTTCTTTAAATATAATTACACAGAAGATATAAAATTAGAAAATAATAAAAAATTATTCAAAATAATTTTTTTAAATTTAATAATTCAATAAATATTTAAAAAATAAAAATTAAAAAATTAAAGTAACTAATAATTTTTGCAATTATATTTTATTTTATTTATTTATTCATTTGTTTTCATTATTAGATATGCTAATATTTGTTTAATATGAAATTTTATTTCGTTTATTTTTTATTTAAATACATTATGCATTTATAAAAATGATTTAAAAGAATTTTTAATAGTATTTTGATATAAAAATCATAATTTATGACTGTTCCTTACAAATAACGAATAAGTGAGTGAATAAATTATCAATATTGAATTTAATATCTCCATTAAAGTTTTTTTAAATATTTAATAAAAATTCATTAAAATTTTTTTAGCTGTTTGATGTTCTTTTAAACTTGCCTATCCCTGAAGAGCTGTATTTCTGCATTGGATGATATGCAAGGCCTTGGAATAAGAATATCATGGTTTGTGGTGTCATTTTCATAACAGTGAATTGATTTGAATTGCTTTGGTCGAGAGAAAGCTGATTTAGCCAGTGGTTGTTCAATTGATCTTGGTGGTCTATCTGGTGATCTAACCAGACTACTAGAGCATGTATCTTCCAAGTGCGAAGAATTGCAGATGCTCGTTTTAACGTCCTTAATAATTTCTGTTGCTCCTATTCCAAGGGCTATTGGTGCAGTTGAGTTTGAAGTTTCGAGACTAACTATAGATGAAGGGGTTGTTATGATCGTAGGTACGCGTTCTTTAATTGATATTCCTAAAATTGTATTGATGAGAAATATAAATTATGTTTTTAACGACAATGTATTTCCTAAAAATAAATTACAGAGATTATCATCATATAATTTAATATATAATTTATTTTATATTTATAATTATTATCATATCATTTCAACAATAATATTACATTATTTAAATTCAAATAATTAAATAATAATAAAATAATTATAGTTAATACTTTAAGTTTCATGTTTTTCCAATGACTTTCAATACGATATGTACTATAATATAAATTATAATATAAATACCATATGATAATTAATATAAAAATTATAGTATTAAACAAATATTAGTTCACCCTATAATTAATTTAACGTTATAATATAGATATATTAATTTATATTATTCTGTTGAAAATTTTGAATAATGTATATCATTAATTATGAAATTTCAATGAAAAATACAATTATAACAAGGAAAAATATTACAAAATATAACTATTTTATAATATATGCATATTTTATTATTATCATTATAGTTAATAGTCAACATATTAAATATATATACACGTTATGCGACACTTAATTAAAATTAGAACTAATTCAGAATAATATTATTTCAAAAGAAAATATAAGTACTTTGTATATTGATATAATTATTGAGTATTAGAAAAAAAGCAAAATACTTCATTAAGTTATATAAATGATTTCTAAAATAATAGTAAAACTTTTCGAGATAAATTACAAATTTAATGAATAAAGAATTATTACATTAGACTAACAAGTATAAATTGATGCAAATTTAATTTTAATTTAAATGCAACAATTGGAATTAAATAATGCTATTATAATTATATATTAGTCCTTATTTCAATTGTGTGTTAATATAAATATAACAAAAACTTACCAGAGGCAAGGGATGAGGCGTAACGAGGTTTTGGTGCTGGGAGTTTAACTTGTGATTCAGGTGGCGGCGTCGAACTTCTGCAGTGAGTACTCCAACCTTCGAAGCCTCTGGCCACACTATTAATGTACTTGTTGCATAGCGCTTTTTTGACCATATAACAGCGTGGCATCTTTATTAGGAAAGTGACAGTACAGGGCTGAACTGAGTAACGGGTAGAAGGGTACCGGGACTCAGGAGACCAATGTGAAGTGTCGCATCATACGCACGTTGGGGCGTGACTGCAGCTCAGGATTACGAACAATCGAAGCGTAAGTGTTATTAGATGATCAGTGATCCTCGACAATTTCTCTTCGATCGCTGTTTTTTCTTTTTAGAAGGGAAGCTATAAAAAGTAATTTTCTACGAAAAGTTTTTCACTCTATTTTTTGCTTATTTTTACGTGTATAAAAATGTCTTTTTTTATTACTTTTATTTATTAAATTTTTATTAATTCTTGTTTCGATAAATATAGCTTGTATCAGTTTCCTGTACCTTGTTGCAATATTGCTTTCGTTGTATGCGCGGGGCTGGAAGTTTATTGATTAAATTCACATTCCTGATTTAATTCAACGTTAAGTATATAAGAACTTACTTATTCTATGAATGCTTTAAGTATATTTCTTTTTATATTTGCATTTACAATTTTTTTATAATTATATTTAAGTTTTCATAGTTTCAAATTCTTATCATAACTAAAAATAACAATACATAAAAAACTCTTGTTCATGGATTCTATATATAAAAAAACTTTGTACATACGTATTATATTTCTAAGTTTTAGCGTCACTTACTCTCTCTTATTCCAGGAAAACACAAATGTACACACACACACATAAAAATATCTATTTTATTTATTCTTTATTTGTATTATAAATTAAGATTAATTTATTTTCTTCTATTACGAGATATTACATCTTCAATTTATATAATTTTTCTTGTATTACTACGTGTCTTTCTTTCTGTGTCTTACTTTCATTTATATACTATGGCATTGGAAAATTAACAAAATGTTTCTTCAACTCACTCATTGTAATGCGTAGTAAATGTAGCTTTGACACTTCAGCAACTCATTGATTATCTCTCAGTGTTCTAAGCTCTCATTCAAATGCAATCAATATTGTAATATTTATAATGAATATAAAAAAGCGAAATTAAAACATCAAAAGAGTAACAAGTCAGATAACAGGTCCTTGTGCATTTAATATTTATGATTTTTGTAGTCAATTACAGTTTAATATTTATTAGTGAATAGAACTGCAACTGATAATTGTGCTATTATTGCATAAACATATTATTGTTCATACAAACTGGTAGCTTGATACCCGACCCTTTTTCTACTTACATGCCATCTTCTCTCTTTGCCTCATATTTATCACTATTATTATTATTCCCGCCACCACTATCACTGCAATTTTATTGAACATGCAGTATCTCTTTCCTTTTCTTTTTATTCTTCTTTCAGTATGCCATTATATTATATGGATATACCATACCACCATATATTTCTAATTCCTATCGCTTATCAAATCAATATGCATCAGGTTACGTCTAATCAAATTCTTAATTTATTCACTATATAAAAACTTTTGTAGCTCTAGTAGTAACAAGTATTTGCCGGCAAAATATAAAAGAAAGAAAGAAAGAATTAACAAAAAGTCAAGGGGTAGAAATAAGGATGAGTATAAACAAATGATAGGAGGAATCAAATATAATGTTCTTAAATAAGCTGAAAAATAGAAAAAAATAGAATTAGAAAAAAAGAAGAAAATGATAACCGAGTACCACCTGTGGGCGTGTAGAAGCAACAATTGTCCGCTGTATGCGGGAGGGTAAAGAAAACGACTACATGACTTGTGATCCGGGTGTGGCTAGGCTAAGACTATTGGACCTATGCAAGGTACCGCCATCGCACGCACGCGCCCTTCCTTGGAGCTTGGGCTTACAACTCTGTTCTTGTTCTCATTTTCATTCGTTTTCTTTGTCTCTCTTTCGTTCTCATTTTTTTCTTGTACAATCCGTACTCTTATGTATTACACCCTTCCTCACCCTCTGTGTACATGCGCAGTATCAAAGCTATTAGATATTAGACCTGCTGGATTGCAGAGATCAGGAAAACGAATCTTTGAACTTCTGCGCCGGCGTATAAAACATATCAAGTTCTCTTTCTTTCTCTTTCTGTGCCTATATATACAGTGGACTGGCGTTATTCGTTTGCATCGATTTTTACGATTTTGGGTAATACTGTCTTTCGTAGCTGCTGTTTTGTAACAAATTAAACTATAATTTCACAAATATATTATAAAAAAGCATATATATATATATAAAGTTAATCTATAGTCTATAATTAGATATATCAGTTTTGTTCAAATACTATAAAAATGAATTTTTTTATTAAAGAAACGGAAATCTAACATATATTGAAGTTATATTTCATTCGACTTTTTTGTGGCCTGACTGAATATTTTTATTAATGATATAACTTTTATAATATTGATAAGAAAACATGAATTCAAGTAATAGGTCTCATTTGATTTATATTGATAAAATTATATTGGAATTTGTATTACAATTATTTAAATAACCAGTTTTCTTTTTCATATATCTAATATATTTGATATGATAGTAAAATATAAATATTATACAATAAATATTTAAATTATTATTAAAATTTATCTATTTCTTTGTGATGTTGATCAAAGATTTTAGATATTTTTTAAAATAAATTTGATTAAATAGATAATAAAAATTTTAAATACATTTATAATAATCTAAAATTATAATTTGCAATAAATGAAATACAAAGAATTTATAGATAAATCTATAAACAAAAAATGCAATAAAATTATTTTGAATTTTATAATTTATATAATTTTAATAGTAATAAGTTTAATTTAAATAACCAATAATAACTTGAATATGATAATTAAATAAAATTTTAGCCATTTTATCTAGTTATAATATTTTTAGATTTAATTTTTGTATAGAAGAATTCAGTTTTCTGATATTCTAATTTTACTTTAAAAAGCTCTATTATGCATAGTATTATTATAAAACATTAATTAGTATTTTTAATTTAAATTTACGAATACAAAATAATAATTATGACCAAACTACGATGCTCTATTATAAATTATTTCATATATTTCAGTGAATAATTGAAATAAATAAAATGTAAATATCACCTAACATTAAATTTGTATATAATTTTATTTTTTTGCGTGAATAATTTCTTAAAAATAGAAAAATCCGTATGTTGATTTGCTGAATGCGGAATTATACTATAGCAGATGGTTATTTATAAATAATATTTTTATAAATTTATTATAAAATTTTCTTAGACATTTAATAGATCATATTAATTATAAATAGTATAATATACGAAAATATATTATAAATAACAATATTCTTGTGAGACTAGTAATATTAAATCTATGAAGTTGTATATAATAAATATTTATTAAATTTTACCCAAAAAATATAAAGTTAAAACAAATTTAAACTGAATATAAACTGAAAGATAATAAAAATTTTTTAAACTTAGCTTACGAATTACATCTTATATAAATTAAATTTTTTTAAATATCAGATATTCCTTAATAACAAATTATTTATGTCGTTTACAATTTTCTAAGAGAATTTTATGTATAAGCATTGGTCTTATCACAATTAAATATGTATATTATAATATATAAAGTTAAATTAATCTAATAAAAAAACAATCTAACTTTTATAATCTATCATGTATTTGCACAAGGTTAATATAATTTCAAAATTTCATTAAGCCACCATTAGAAACATTAGCTATTGTATAATAATTAACTGCATATAAGATGAACAATTTTAGTTTACAAATATATTTTGTTCTTTAAGAAATTCTTCAAATATAGTGTCGATCCTCTTTATTCGAATATGTAGATTAAAACAAAATTAATCATTCTAATATAAGTTTTATAATTCATTCAATTTTACTGTGCATAATCATTTATAAAAGAGTAGCATATATAAAACATTATTTTTAAATATATAATTTGTCGATATTTAAATAGTAAATATCTTTAATAAGTTGTAGGTACTAATATTAAATGAATTATTTAGAAAATAATAGTATGAAATATTTATTTAATATAACTATGAGCAAATTTTTATACTTAAATACTCCTTATTTGTTAGAAAATAAATTCGATTTTAAATTTCCATTTTTTTAACAATGTGAATGTTAGGTCGATACGATAATAAATCTTTATCTTAATGATTTGCATTTTTTTTAAAAATATTTTTACTACATCTTTTATATAATTTTATAATAGTCAGTTCTTATTCAAGTGGACCTTCATGAACCTTGGTTCTTACTTATTTATATGCAGAGAAAAAAATCAATAGAAAGTATTCATTCCTATAAAAGATGTACGCCTATAATGTACAAAAGTGGTTATTTTTAAGTGTATATGTGTATGTATGAATACTGCAGTATATTAGATATTTTGTTTAATGTTATTTAATAGATAATTAAATGTTATTTCGACAAGTTGTATTTTAGTATGAATATTATTTTATCTGTTCATTAAAATTCTTGAAAAAATTTATTGTTATTCTTATTAAGTAATGAAAAAAGGTTAAAAATGCTCTTATATATATTTCTTACATATTCTATTAAGGCATATCTTGAACAGTTTATATATTTTTAATAATTTGAAAGGTTCATAAGAATAACTAAATAGATTTTACTTATAATAAAAGTTTCGATAAAACTTGTAATTTTGTATAATATATTTGTAAAATTTATTTTATCAATACATTAGTAATATAATCTGATATGAAATGTTTTAATTACTTTCATAATTTTTTATTTTATAAAATTATTTTTTATAATATTATTTTTATGTAAAATATTCATGTAATAACAATGGATTAAATAACGAGAGAGAATAAATAAATATATTTTTATTTAATTAAGTTTCATTATAATTATTTAACGAACTATATTTGTATTTAAAATATTTCTTACTTTAGTTTATTGTACATAGTATAAACATTAAAATATACCCGAAAGCTAATAAAACTGCCATTATTTGCATACTTTATTTTTTCATTATGAATAAAGTTTTTTTAAATTCTATTTAATAGAAGTATTTATTTTGTTATAATAATTTTTAGATTATCAATAATAGTGTAATACAAATAGTCACTTAAATTAGAAAATTAACAATATTTATATGAGGTAATAAAATTCATAGAAAAATTAAGTCACTGAGTAAGAAGAATGTTAATATTTATAAAGACGAATGAAACATATATATTGTAATAAAGATATCTTAATGCAATAACGGAATTTATGAAACAGCTAACATATTATATATATATATATATATATATATATATGCGATCTTATAAAAACTATTTAAAGATTTATATTAAAAGATGTTACAACTGTAATAAATAATTTTTCAAGTTAGATAGTATTTTATTTTCAATTATAAAAGATAAAATAATAGTATTTAAAAAATATGATATAAAAATAGTAAAATCGTATTTTGACTAAACTTTTAAAAGCAGTTTATCAGACCAAAAAAGAAATTATAAGAAAAATCGCCTACAATATAAAAATATATATTAAAGGGTATTCAATAAAAATTGATATATATTCCAATATAATTT